AAAAAAAAATGAAAAGGAGTTCATGAGATCTGTGCAAAGTACTTACTATCGTAAAATGCATTCGAAAGGGAATAAACCGATCTGACAATGGCATTTGCTCGAATTCCAGGTTCGTCAAGGGGACAACATCTTTTGGATGCCACTCGTACGATTCACTGGTCTAAAAAGATATATCTTTCAGAATGATATGTTACATTACGAGAAAGCTAGTACCAATGGTTTTTTCTGTTTAGAACACTTATTCTCGAGCCACCACATCAGAGCGTAGAGCATAGAAGAGGGGCTCGGTGGATACTCGCTAGAGACAAGAGAACGTACTTCATCTTCGGTTAGAAACACCTGGAATTGAACCATATAGTCGAAAATGCGCAGATTCAATAAATCATTGGTATAGTAGGAGGATACCTTTGTGATATACTCATCTTCGCTTGCATTTCCACCGCCTTCTGTGACCTTCATAGAATCATTGATTTCAGCATAGAAAAGATACTGCACACCTCCAGACTCATGTGCAGCGACGCTGAAGAAAAGGCTGAAGTGTAAAATGGGTATTTGAAAAGTATACAAGAAACATTGAAGAACTGCACAGATTCCATCCTGCATTTGGACATTCACACGCTGATCAATCTATGCAAAGAAGCAGAAAGAAATGCAAAAGAGGACTATCAAAACACTCAACTCAACCCCCGCTGAGTAGAGAACAAAAGCAGCGCTGCTTATCGAGAAAATAGAAAACCAACTTGAAAGTAGTAACAAGATGGATATCCTCGTTCTTTACGGCATAGCCACATTCCTCTTCAATTTCTTCGCGTGCAATATCAACAACGGGGAGTTTCTAGAAGTAGAGTTGTAGAAAAACGCCAAATCCCAGCAAATTACATCTTACTTTGTCGATCATACCAGCACACAATTCCAAGGTATAACCATTTGATGCATCGTACTTGGCCCAATCTATTTCAGTGAGTTTCTTGTTGAAATTTTCTGGTTGTCGAAGTACATGTCCAACTAGGACAGCTAAACACTAAACAAAGTTAAAAAGGAGTCTGAAGCGTATGAGCCAAATCAAAAGCACACCTAACCTGGCCTAAATTGTTTGACAAGTATCAGTTTCTTCATTCCAGTATGGTAGAGTATGGTGGCGACACTACTATGCCGTAATACAAGATCATAACTTTGTCGTTTGTTACCCTGCAGCAACATGAAGTAAATATTTCACGATTCGAAGGAGAGGACACTGAGTTGGCCTGCGTTTATTAGTAAAATCGGGAGGCTAGTTGCAAATCTTTTACGCATGTAGATGAATTGTGATTTTGATAAAGAAGCGATAGGAACCCGTCATACTTCGGCGGAAAAAGCCCAAAAGCGCCAGAAAAAGCCGGAACATCCCTTTCGCGCGCAAGTAATAAATACCAAAAGTTCCAAACCGGATGGTACAGAGTCCAACGTAACTTAGCAGCGTAGTTTTTAGAAAACTGCATGATTTTTAGCTTTTTGTGCGTCTCAACTGCCCTAAAATCTCGCAGATAAGTCCGCCCTTTTTGTCAAAGAAAATCGATAA